TACAAGGTCATGCCCTTCGGGTTGAAGAACGTAGGAGCAACCTATCAATGACTAATGAACAAGATGTTCTAGTCACAGATCGAAAAAACAATAGAGGTATACATGGATGACATGCTGATAAAAAGTCTCACAACAACAAGCCACATTGACCACCTCCAAGAAACTTTCAACTTTCTCATATCCTATCGCATGAAGTTGAATCTTGAGAAGTGTGCCTTTGGCGTAGGCTCAGGAAAGTTCCTTGGCTTTATGGTCAACTAGAGGGGAATTGAGGTGAATCCCGACAAGATCAAGATCATCCTAGATATGAAGTCACCGTCCTCGACCAAGGAGCTCTAGTACCTCAATGGAAGAATTGTAGGACTCAACAGGTTCATTTTCAAGTCTGCAGACAAATGATTGTCTTTTTTCAAGATTCTCCGAAAAGCTTTCGAGTGGAGATCTAAGGCAGAGGAGGCCTTTCAAAAGCTCAAAGCCTATTTGGTTACACCTCCCCTCCTCTCATATGCTACACCAGGCGAAACATTATATTTGTACCTCTCTGCTTCCTCGTCGGTGGTAAGCTCCGTCCTCATCAGAAACCAAGATGGAGTGCAAAAAGCCATCTATTATGTGAGTGGAACATACTGAGAAGTAGAAGTTAGATATTTGGGGTTAAAGAAGCTAGTGCTTGCTCTCATCTCAACAACTAGGCGTCTATGACATTATTTCCAAAGTCACACCGTGGTTGTGATCATAGACCAACCTCTAAAGAGATTCTTGAAAAAACTGGATGTATCTGGGAGACTCCTTAAGTGGGTAGTGGAACTAGGGGAGTTCAATATTCAGTACTAGCCAAGGGCAGCCATCAAAACGCAAGTATTGACAGATTTTATTATTAAGGTTACACTAGCAAGGGAGAAGACCAATGAGCTCTCCACACTTTAGACATCGAGCCTAGACGTGCAAAGCAATCTGACGTCCAGCGAGGACAACCAAATGCCCGACCAGGACAACCAGATGCCCGACAAGGACTCCCAGGCACCCAAGCACCCATGCTAGGCACCCAAGCCCTCCAACTTGGTGCCTAGGCACCCCAACCTGCTCCCATAACCGTCTTCGAGCCCTCCTCTCTGCCCTTCTAGAACCTTTATATGGATGGCTCCTCAACTAGTGAACGAGGTGGAATAGCCTTAATCCTGATCAGCCCCAAAGGCACCCCCATCAAGTATGATGCGAAGCTCCACTTCATTGCCTCTAACAATAAGGAAGAATATGAAGCACTCTTCTCTAACCTAAGGTTGGCAATTGAAATGGAAGCCCAACACTTGATCATTTACAGTGATTCAACAGTTGATAGTTAACCAAGTAAGGGGAGAGTTCAAAGCAATAGCAGCCAAAATGCAGGAATACCTCAGTATGGTGAAAGCCTTGATCGTGAAGTTCCAATATTTTCGGATTTGTCACGTCCCAAGGGAGGACAACATGGTTGCAGATGCACTCACCAAGCTCGCCTCATCTTTCGAGGGACCTCTAGGACCAGTATTTATTGGTCTTTAGTTTGAAGCAAGCAAGTTGGACGTAGAAGCCACAAACATCAACTGTGCGTCTGCTGAGTCAAATTGGATGACCCCGATAAGGACATACCTCTATGAGGGTGTATTTGCTAGAAGATTCCCTTGAGGTCAAAAAGCTCAGGATAAAAGCCTCCAAGTTTACTATTTTACAATATACCTCATACAAAAAAGGCTACTCCCTGTCGTTGTTCACCTGAAGAAGCTAACTATGTTCTGAGGGGGATCCATGAAGGGATTTGTGGGATGCTCAGGATGCTCCCTCGCCCATAAGGCGCTTAGACAAGGCTACTTTTGGCCTAGCATGGTGAGGGACGCCCAAAAATTTTCCAAGAAGTGCGACAAGTGTCAGCGCTTCGCCACTGTGCCCAAGTAGCTGCCAGAGGAACTCACGGTTATCACAAGTCCGTAGCCTTTCTCCAAATGGGGCATCGACATCCTGAGCCCCCTAACTTTTAGTAGAGGACAGTGTAAGTTCTTGTAGGTAGCAGTGGACTATTTCAATAAGTGGGAAGAGGCTGAACCCTTTAACAAAGATAACAAACGCAAAGGTGAAAGATTTCATCTGAAAAAACCTAGTCTGTTGCTTCGAGATACCCCACGCCATTGTCAGCCACAACGCCAAACAGATCTACAACAAGCTCCTGAACTCCTTCTACTCTGACCTTCAAATAAAATAGCCTTATTTGAGCCCGGTGCACCTACAGGAAAACGGACAAGCAGAGGTCATAGTGAGAACGGTGCTATGCAACCTAAAGACAAAGCTCGAAAAGGCGAAGGGTCTTAGGCGTATTATGGGCCTACCGAACCACACCAAGAACTTCAACTGAAGAAACCCCCTTCTCCCTTACCTTTGGAACTGAGGCGGTCATCTTTGTAGAGATTGGGGTGCATTCTCTAAGGGTCCAACACCACGACCCCATCACTAACAAAGAAGAACTCTACATCAACCTCAACTTGGTAGAGGAGGCAAGGGAGATGTCTGTGGTCCGCAACACGGAGTACAAGCGCCTCTTGGCAAAGTACTACAACTTGAGGGTGAAGCCTTGTTCTTTCCAACCAGGAGACTGGGTCCTCAAGAAAGTGATCCATGCTACAAAAGATTCACGAGAAGGAAAGCTGTGGACTAATTTGGGAGGGACCCTACCTCACAACAAAAGTGATGAGGTCGGGCACCTACAAGATACAGAGTTCTGAGGGTAAGGTTTTGCCCCATCCATGGAATATTGAGCACTTAAAGAGGCACTACCAATGATGCCTTGAGAGAGTCAAAGTAGAAAAGTTGGGAACTTAATTTTATTTTTTGTACTTTTTGTGGGGCTATTACCTAATATTGCTTTTACATAAGCAGTGAAATGAATAAAACTTTCTAGATTTACTACAAAATAATTTTTACATTTTTGTATTCAATTTCTCAACTTCAAAGGAGCATCAGTGGCAAAAACAACTTTTACAAATGTAGGGCTACAAAATGTTTTCCTAAAAAAAAAAAGAAAGAGAAAAACAAAAAGTCCCTAGCACTCTAACTACTCTCATGATCATCATCTTCCTCCTCATCATCACCTTCGGCATCGTCAGAGCCTCCATCACTATCATTAGGCGCCTTAGTCGACAAGAAGCCTAAGACATCAATATTGGGGAAAGTAGTAAAAAACTTTCCCTAGAGCTCTTCATAACCGTCATTGAAAGCATCTACAATGTCATTCTCCAGATCCGCCTCAGCCCAAAAAGCTCTCTACTAAGCAGTATTCACCTCTGCCTCTGTGGCAGCCTCTCTGAGCATGGCCCTCTCACTGGTCTTTACAAGCTTAGCCTCACTGAGCATGGTCCTCTCATGGACCTCAGTAAGCTCAGCCTCGAGCTTGGCCACCCTCCCATGGGTCGCCAAAAGATTAGCCTCACTAAGCGTGGCCCTCTCACAGACCTCAGCAATCTCAGTCTCGAGCCTGGTCACCCTCCCATGGGTTGCCAAAAGCTCAGTCTCAAGACCAGTTGCCCTCTCACGGGTTGCCACAAGGTCAGCATCAGAAGCCCTGCCAGTGACTTCAAGCTCGACGATCCTCCCTTGAGCAGCTAGAAGCTCATTTTACAGGACTTCATGATTGTGTTTCAACTAGTGATAAAGGAGGGTCCTTGAAATTAAACACATAGATGCGGTTGAGGCCTGAAGAAAAACAAAAAAAAATGTCAAACACTTATGAAAAGACGGGAGAAAGGGGAGATAAAAAACCCTTACTTGATCCCAGCCTTCCAAAATAGAGTTAAGGATTTTCTCGGTGCCTAAGGTACTAATCTTATTCACATCATTGGGAAACACAAACCTCCCAAGTCGATCTTTGATGACCTACGCATTACCTAACATGGAGCTAGTTTGAGAAGATGCCCCATTAGAAGTCCCCATAGGAGGAGTAGATGAGCGGGGACAGAAGGTGTGGGCAACAAGTGGGATTCTAGAGCAGGAGATGCAACTGAGGGAGTCTTCGATTGAGGATCCACCACTGGAGGGGTCACTTGAGGGGAGCGCGCCCGAAATACCACTGGAGGGGTTAACTGAGGAGAGCTCACCTAGGGCAGCATCATTGGAGAGGTCATTTGGGCAAATATAAAACGACATTTTCAACTATGACAGTTAGATTGCAGTCCAGTGATCAACTTGTCTCTTGTGGTAAAATAATACCAACCCCGATTGGGAGCAGGGGTCTTGTTCAATGTATAAGCTCCAAGAAACTCCATCGGAGAGGCATCCTCATGATGCACCTTCCTCCACAACACGAGAAAGCTCAACAAAATCCTCCAATTGTTGGGGACAATTTCCCTGGGGTGAGTGAAAAATAATAGAGAATGCGACAAATAGAAAGAGACATGGGGAACCTGAGCCCAACCTCAAGCATCTCTTCATAGATGACAATATCCCTAGAAGAATTATTAGAGGCGAGCTCACCCATCTCAGCTTGACAGCTTAGAACCGTTTGGGGAATGTGATAAGCAGAAACAATCCTTAGAATATCATCATCAGTGTTGAACAAACTATAAAGAGTACTTACTTTGGACCCATCATCGTCAAGAGCTACTTTGCCTTTACGCCTTTTGTTGCAGGGGTGTGAAGAATTTCCTGAGCCACTACCAGAGAGGCCCTGAGGAATTTGATTTTGAGAAGTAACAACCACACAGAGGAGCCAGATCGTCATTAAAAGTGTTCGGCGTACTCTATCTTTTGACTCTAGAACCAGACTCATCTGAGGCACCTCCATGCTCGCCCAAACCATCTCCAACCAGGGACATAATGAAAGGTGGCCCCATCCATGCGTGCACAGCAGTCCGTGGCCCCGAAACTCCCTCGCCCTGCTCACCCGCTGTGGGGGCTACTCGCCTAAGGGCCTTAGCTGCTTGCCCACTGGCCTGGGCTGCTCACCCGCTGGGTTGGGCGGCTCTCCCACTGCCCTGGGCCTACTCGCCTGCTCCCATGTCCCTTCCAGCAGGTGCCAAACTCATTAAACCAGCAGTGCCCCCAACAGCCAGATCTAGGCGTCCACTGGTACTCACCAAATCAATGTGCCTAGCCTCATCTCTGCGCACAATCGAGGCGCCCAAGGACAGCTCCTCCCTTGCCTCACCTATTGCACGAGCAGTCATGAAAACAACATCTGCAAGCTGCTTTGTGCGCCCACCGACACTGATCTGCTCACCAAAGCTGGCCAAACTAGCACCTAGGTGGGCGCCTAACCCGATCTACTCGCCCAAGTCGACCAACCTAGCACCTAGCGCCTCTTCCTTGCGCACCCCAGCACACCTAACAGCGAGAGTCCCCTTTATCCCCACTCTTTCGCCTACGAGCAACTGTACAATGGGCGCCCATGGCGCCTCCACACTGGCGCCCAACACCTACCCTTCCTTTCCAGGCTCTACACCAAGATTCGAAGACCTCTGACCATCTTCTCCATCAATCACCATAGCCCTTTGAAATGCTTAAACTCAAGAAATTTCTTGAAAGATTTCTAGAAGAACACTCCCTCAAGCTTCTATGGAATGGGTGGAACATGGGCTCTTAAGGGTTTTAGGAAGGAGTTCAATCCCAAGATGAATGAAATGGGCAAGAATGAAGAAGAAAGCTTTTTATTTATAACTAAGGTTTCTTGAAATCATGGAAATAGCAAAAAACCCCAATTTACAACCTAGGGCTCTTCAAGAATGCAAAAGGGGGAGTGAAAGAAGGAGTTTATATAACTAATGGAGTTCCCCCAGACAAGAGGAGTCTATTGAAAGGGAGGAAATTGTCAATCAAAAGAATTTTTTTAAAAAAATTCGGATTTAAAAAGGATTGTACGCTATTTTGACCGTAACTCCAAACGGAACTTATTATATATCAAATCGAAACTCTCGATGAGCTTTACAAAACTCATTATCATTTGGCAATGAGCCATATAGAAAAAAGTCCAAAAAAGGCCTAGAAACATAAGTTTTGGCCTCCCGAAGCTTTTTCAAAAAAAAAAAAAAAACATTTGCGTTCAGCTGCTTGCTCGCCCAAGACATTGCCTGCTTGCCCAAAGGTCGCCTACTCACCCAAACCGAGTGCCCAGCTCCTTGCTTGTTGTTTTGATCCTAACTTTTGCTCCGTTACTCTAAATAGGGCCAATAATATATTAAATCGAAACACTCAGCAAGCCTTACAAGACTCACAGCCTTTGGTTGTGATTGAGGTTGTTAAAAGCTCAAAAAAAGCCTAAAAGCACAAGTTTTGGCCTCTCGAAATTTTTTCAGCTATGCTGGTCAGTTGAAAATCCAAACTCAAAAAGATCCGCTAAGTCCAGCTCAATGTGATCAACTCGGAAAAGCTCATCAGGAAGCTATGTCACCAAGGGAGCATCCAGGAGCCTCACCTTCGCCACCTTAGAAACCAAATCTCAAGCACCATAACTGCCTTGCCCGTTGAGAAAAGGTGCATCTCTGCCGGATCAGCTACTTAACTACCATAAAGTCACCTCAATCTGTTATGACCGCCAGACTAGCTATTTAATTAATATGCTGAGCAACTATAAATTGTAAGCCACACAAACATTTGAGGAGCATTAAACTCGTTTGAGCATAATTCTCTCCAAAGCTTGAAACCATTTGCTCTCCCTCTACACCAAAATTAATAAAATTCTCGACGACTCTTGTCATTCCAAGTGGACGTAGGTTACTTTGACCGAACCACTATAAACTTGATTTTTTATGTCCCTCTACTTTACTTTATTTTATACTGTTTAATTAATAAGTGGTGAACAAACCAATTTGTGTATCATAAAAAATAATTGATGTCCTCTCATGCCAACAATAGTACACACAAAATTGGTGAAAAGCATACATTGTTGGATTCTTGAGAAATAATGTTGAATTTACACTAAATATTCTACTAAAGCTCTCTCTTTCTTCACAAATCCACCAAACAATGCACATGTTACATGAGCAAAAAATGAGTTTTAGTCCGGGCTGACCCCCACCCCTACACGGGAGAGGGTTAGATCATTGTAACACCTTTAGAACAATAGGCTTAATGAGATCTAAATATGTCAATCGAAATAGACTGTTGAGATACCAATTAATATAAGCAAACCGATATGTATATTTGTAGAAATACATGTGTCAAATTGTAATAATTCTGTCCTTACTAATAACACTCTACGAAATCATCACAACATTCATCCACTGTTTTCTTCTTCCGACGAGCGACCGGCCGGGGGATGTAGGGTGGTGTTGTGCATCTCAATAGTGCCCAATTGACACCATCAAAAAATGGATGGTGTTTGATAGCTGTGGCCCCCATTGTGGATCCCATTCGCTTTGTGGGGTCCTTGATCAATAGTTGTGTGATCAAATCCTTCGCGGGGCCCGCCACGGTGGGCTGCTTAGGGAATTCAAGTGCTCGAGCCACAATGTTAGCAAGGGTGAACTCATTGTCGTCTCCCCTAAATGGTGTCACCCCATAGATCATTTCAAATATGAAGATCCCTAAGGTCCACCAATCCACAGCATTGCCATGGCCTTCACCTGATACAATCTCTGGGGCCAAGTACTCGTGGGTCCCCACAAATGACATGGATCGAGCATCGATTGGCTCTGCTACAAAATCAAGGCCTTCGCGGCAGCGGCGACGGCGACCGGGCCACCTCTTCTTCTTACCAATGGGGAGAAAGCAAGAGACAACTGGCACAATACAATTAGGAAGAATGCATGATGACGTGGAAGACTGAGATGCTTTGATTAGGTATTTGTTTTTCGAATTTGTGGCTGGTTGGTTTTGATAGACAAGTTGAGCCGTTGATATCGAGTTGTCACATTGCATGCAAAGATCAAAATCAGTGAGCATGATATGACCGTTCGATCTTACAAGTACGTTTTCAGGTTTTAGATCACGATAGATTATCCCCATCATGTGGAGGTACTCTAGAGCAGCAACCACTTCTGATGCATAGAACCTGTAACAATCAAGACAACAATCAATTATTAGTTTAAGTTTTTTTTTTAGTGTTAGATTTTTGTCTGTTAGGATTGGTTATTCAAAGTCCACCACCTGGAACATTGGCAACATGGGCCCACAGTAGGTCAGCAGCCTTGGACCAACTGCTGAACCCACATATAATGATGCTTCATTGTGAATATGGATAGTTTCCAATTAAATTATTTTAATATTTTAAATTTATTGTGTCGTAGTAACACCTAAAATACTCTAAAATACTCGTAGAATCCCTTAATTGGGATTTGACAAATATAACGGTGTAAGATTGAATTTGATCAAATTAATAAAATTTAAAATATAAAGTATTAGGATCCCTTCATTTTAATCATGAAAAATTCTAATCATCTTGCATGATTGTATCATACTTCTATTAAGCGTGACCAAATGAATAATTTTTTATCATTCATGAGAGAGAGAGAGGATCATGCAAAACTACTCACCGGACGGCAGTTTCATCAAATCTCCTTTCTGGCTGCCGTTGCCGGTGAACATGGAGGTCGCCACCGGGACAGAACTCAGTCAACAAACAAGACCACTTAGCAGAATCTAAGGTGGCATAAAGGGTGGGCAAAAAAGGGTGGTCCAACATTTCCAACACTTCCCTCTCTATCTTTTCCCTAGTTTCTTTGCTCCTATACAACAGCTCTTCCTTGTCCATCACCTTAGCAGCAAAACTGCACCCACTGGCTCCTTTTAGCTCCACGAGGTACACGCTGCCTATGTCGCCGCTCCCGAGCCTCTGGATAAACCGGAGGTCTTGGAGGCTGACGGTGGTGGATTCTAATTGAACACGACGTATGGCGTCCCAGCATGGGTCGCCAGACGTCCCATGGTGCTTGGTGGAGGATGAAGCAAGGCTCGAGGCAGCCCCTGTGGTGGCTTCTGACACAGAGCTCATACTAACCTTTGTTTCAATACCAGAGTCAAAACTAAAGACGTCCGAGTCTTCGTTGACATCATCAATGAATGTTTGCATGGTTCAACTGGTGGCAATGGTGGTGGTGGATAAAAAGATGGTGGTGGTGGTGGAGCCTTAAGTTGAAGGAGGGGAGTGTGTGAAGAGTTTTTGAAGGGCGTGGGCAAGGGAATCTGAGTTTGGGCCGGCAGGGTGGAGCTTGGTCATTGTGCCGGCTGTTTGAATGGAGAATGGGACCAGTAAAGGCCTAAAAGTTGGATAGCATATTGATTATTATTTAAACTTCATTTTGAATATCATCTACCTTATGTTGTATTAGGTCTGTTGATTATTATAAGGAGGCAGGGTGCTGGCAAATATGAACCATTATTGTTTAGCCATGTCTTCATAGTCCAATACCCGAAATTTCGGTTTTTTTTTAGAGTTTGGGAACAATCAACTGACGTGAGTGTGTGTATAAATTTATTTTTCTAGCTACCTTTATATTATTGTGCTTTGATCATTCAGCGAAATTAATTTAAGCCGAAAAATTGTATATGGTCCATATTTTCCACATATCATGGATATCAAACATCAACATTGCGAAGAATAATAGTATGTCTTGGTTTGGGTGACGTCAAATATTATATTGCAAACTAGCTTTTTAAAGTAAAAACTAATGAATAAATATAATGGTATGTGGAAGTAACAGCTAGAGAAGTACAACCTCATGGGGACCTAATATTCTGTAAAAGACCCTAAAAAAACTACTTTCTTTTTACTAGATGCTTACCTTTTATTTATTTATTTATGATTATCCTAAATAATATACAATTAATTGTTTCAAGATGCCTTATTCCCAAATGTTGATTATACTTGTTAGTGTGCGAATGATTTAAGAGCACCAATAGCATCTTAAAACAAAGCTTTTGTCGTCTACTTGGTCTTGATTTGTGTATCAGTCTATGATAGAGTTTCTTAGCGGGGGAATCTCATTTTATACTTCAAAAGATTTAAAAAAATTTCGCCTTAAAGATGAGATTTGCACCACCAATATATTAAAAGTATTGTAATATGACTTTTTCGTTGTCTATTCCGCCAAAACTCACCTCATTATTGTTGATAGAATGAATAACAGAAATTAGTGGGAGGACCACATTATAATACATTTAATGTATTAATGGTATAATATGAAAAATTTAATCTTTGGGAGAACAAAATAATAATTTTAAAATTTTTTAAGGTACAAAGTATAATTCATCCTTTTTGTTAGCTCGAAACATTTTTTTTTTATGCACATGAGATGCTAATAATTGTTTATATCAGACACGAGTTATAACAAAGATTCTTAAAATACGTTGTTTGGAATTAACCATTCGCTAATATTCAAAAACACATATTGCCATATATTTTGACCCCAAAAGTTACTTTAAAAAAAAAAGATACTAATTAATTGGCGCCAACTTGACGTTTTTGGCTTAATTCTCACTCTGCATTTCAATCCATTTTTAAGAAAATAAAGCTCTGAGTGCATAACCTTGTTGTTTGAATAAGTCTTGGCATAGTAACGTAAGGACAAGTAGTTTGCGTGCATCAATATAGATTTTTGTCTTCTTAATTGTGGTTGAACAAGAGAGTTTCTTAGGAAAGCCTAAAGTATTATGGTGCATCTATCATATATATATGACATCAAATAAGAATATTTCTTTCAAGAAAACAAGCATTATTACATATAATACAAACAAGGAGGAGGAGGACGGACATTGACGTTGTATTAAAGTTGTTTTATTCTGATTTAGATATCAAAAATTCGAATAGTAAAAAATAACTTCTTTAAATTCAGAGGGTAAAACTGCATAAATCTAATCTTCCAAAAAACTCTATAGTAACGGTAATTTGGTTCACTAATCATTTTTTTATGTTTCGTTTGGTACGATAAAAAATAGAAGGATAGAAAGTTAGAGGAATAACATATATAGTTTCTTATTTCTTGCAATTAGAGGCTGCAGTCCAAACCAAAAATATAGTGCCAAGAATAAGGTGTTGGAATATTAGTTCTGAACATTCTGAAAGTGTCATGGTAGGACTTAATTTATCATTCCATTACAATCAGACATGACAAATCAAACATATATTAGCAGGCCATGAGCTGGTCCTTTGCTTCTACTAAAGGGGAATAAGCCCTCTCTTTCCAAGACTTGGCCATTAAAATGTGTGGTCTTAACTCAATCATGTTGCATATTATGAACATACTCTTTTGCATTACATTGTCGTTGAGGGTTTGAGGTTTAGTGTTCGTGTTAATTGCCCAACAGAGATATTTGAGCTCAAATTTAACTGTACTACTTTCTGTGTCTAGGAAAAATTACATTTTATCCTTTAACTGGATTCCTGTCTCGCATTGCTCCTGTTGTCATGTTTCTCATATCTTATAACTATTGTAAATATTTATTGCAAATAAGATAGAAGTTATTACACTTTATCACCCAAATTATATAACTTTATTTCAATTTACCTAAAATTATGTAATTTTATTTCACTTTGTCCGAGAATATAAGGACAAGTGAATATTTTTTAGCCAAAACATAACGATAGCAATATCAAACTAATTCAGGTAATTAATAGAATTATGTGAAAAACTCAACTGAGAAACAAGGGCGGCTCAAGACAGTTTATGGCCAATTCGATGTCGTTGAGGAGTAGCCAGAAATTTGTTGCCTTCGAATCCTTTTTTTCTCATCTCTGATTCACAACTTCTTATTTATTGACACAACCCAACAATCAATGGCCGTTGAAACACAGTGGTTTGTTGATAGGCCATCCACCAGCCAATAACATGTGAAAGATCTGGAGCCATTATTATATAAGACTAGGAGTGGTAATCTAGTGATCCACTTATCCCGTTCACAAATAAATGGGTTGGATACCTAAATGGGTTGGATAATATGATTTATTTTAATTAAACGGATTAATATAAATTACAAATAGATACCCATTGGGTTGAGTATTTACCCATGATCGACCCATGACTCATGGGTTACCTATAATTTATGGGTCGACCCACGGATCAACCCATAACCCACAATTGTTCCCCACCCATTTATGTGTGTTTTTTTTATTAAATATATTTTAGTTTTTGTGTTAATATATGTGTGTGTATTTTTGGTGTATTAGTGTATAATTTAGTGTATATTTTTAGTGTATTAGTTTTTGTATATTTTGATGTATTAGTGTGTGTGTACGTTTATATTTTGGTGTACTACTAATATGTGTGTATGTGTGTTTTGGTATACTCATTTTATATTTTAATTATTTTATGAGTTAATCAGTTTAACTCAATCCGTTATAAATCCAACTCATTTACTATGTGTGTGAAAAATAGATTGAATTTATTTTAATCCAATTGAATTTAACACAAACCATAACCAACCCAACTCATCCAACTCATCCATTTGCCACCTCTATATGAGACAGAGAGCATCAAATAGTCTTGGCAGCATAAAAGCAACAATGACACGAGGAAGAAGGAGGAGGAGGGTTGGGATAATCTTGTGCCTAAAGAGATTATACAATCCTGAAAATCCAACTTTTTTTTCGTACATATTTATATATTAAATAACAATTTAGTTTATTTTAATTACACAATTTAAAATTAAAATAAAGGGAGAAGTAGATGTGAATTGACGAAATTATTTGACATTGTTCGTGTTTAATATTGGGGCCCGTATAGAAAAGTTGATATTTTTAGAGAAAAAAAATTTGGATGAATTTTGTACCATTGAACCAAAATAAATGAAAATTAGATCTATCTAGACTATTATTTTATTTTTATAAGTTGATAATTCATTTTTCTATCGGCCAGGATCGGATCGGCCAATCGTGGAGGAGGAAGAAGAGGGGGAGAAAGGGGGGGTTTGGGTATTAGATTTTTTTTTTTTTTTTTGCAACTAGGTTGCACTATTTTAGATGTTTATTAGGTGTAATTCGTGTTTGAAAGCACGATGCAATTAAATGTTCAGGCACAGTGTAATATAAATGGCTTTGGAAGTGATGTTGGCGACAGTTTGATGAGATTATGTAAGATCATCGGATTAACTTATTGAAACATATCATGCCTATAATATATATATATATATATATATATATAGAGAGAGAGAGAGAGAGAGAGAAAAAAAAAAGAGAGTTGGATCAACTGGCCGTGGTGGAGAACGTATAGGGGAGGAGTGGGTGGGGTTTGGGAAATAGGGTTTTTTTTTTTTTTTGTGCCAGTGGGCTGGCTTGTTGCTGATGTTTATAACTTTTATATATACACAATATCTCTCTCCTCACACTCACTTTAGCTTCGATTTTCTCTCTCTAGACCTCACTTTCCATCTCTGGAATGGCCACCTTCAGTCCTTTTTCTCATTTTCAGATCTGTAGCACGAATTCGAGAACTACTACGACCCGGAGGAAAAGGAGTCTTCCAACTCTCAAGACTCATACTTGGCTTCAAAATTGAAATCTACTTCTTGAATAAGTGTTCATTAAAAATCTTTTATATTAAAAAAAAAAAAAAACAACACTTTTATTATAAGTATTATTTGGATGCTCAAAATAAAAAGTACTATATAAAAAAGTGTTTGGATGATAAAACAAAACACATGATAAACACACATTCGCACATTGTAAGAAAAATCCAGTAATACACACACACACAAATGCACAAGGAAAAAAGAATACAAAATGCACATTTAACCACACACTAATACAACAAAACACATAACACACACACACAATAATCTATATCTATATATATATTTATACAACAAAGAAAAGTACCTTAACATAAAAAAATAATTTACTATTTTACCCTTCTAAAAACCTACAAAGACTAATATGTCATTTTGTATTTAATCATCCAAATTACCACCATTACATCCTTAATTATTAAAATATTCAAATTTTCCTTCGACAACCTATGTCTATATTTATACTATTTTAAAATGTCAACAACTAAGAAAAACTTTTGAATGGTAATAATCTTTAAAATATTTAACCACAAGACTATCTGTTTATATTTTAGTTTCCATCATTCAGTTTAAATTATAGTATGCTCATAATATCTTAATTGACCCTCACATTAATGATCTATCACCAAATTCACAAATAATCTAAAGTTTATATGCAACACAAAATTTATAAGCTTTCAACACAACGAGCTAGATTATTTATATAATAAAGTAGCTTACAATTCATATCTCAAAAGATAAACAAAATGATTTTTGTTATTCACGGTTGAAATCGTTTAAATTTTATTTTAAAGTTAATCTAACGTCGAATATTAACACTCTAAATTTAATAAGAAAAATAGGCTCATAAATGTGTGTTTAGAGTAACTTTTTAAAAGTATTTTTAGAAATTATTTCTCATAAATATTTTTTAAAAAAATAGTGTTTTAAATCGCCTCATCACTATCTCTAACACCACCACTGCCTTCGTCGCAGCTGCCACAATTGCCACCACCACCTCCACTGCTTCCACCACCGTCGCCACCACCACCACCACCGTTGTCGTCGCCATCGTTACCGCCACCACCACCGCCACCACTGCCACCACAATCATTGTCATCCACCACAACTATTACCGTCTCTTACCACCACCAGTTCTTACCCCCCACTACAAATCGATATTTAAATTCATTTATCTCTTCTCTATGTTTGATTTTAGATATAAATATAAATATGTTTATTGTTTACCATTTTTTATTTCTTTGTACCTTCGGGCATATGCAATAACTAATTATATTATAAGTTATAATTATACATATGTATCAAGAGGAAAGTCTCTTATGTGACTAATCTATAACTAATCAATATCATTAATGAAATATAAATATCCACGAATGGAGTATGCATTAGTCAAGTGGTACATGTTATAAACGGAATTATTGGTGCAATAGAACATAAATAAAGATATCCAGTTACAAGTAATTCAAAATGCCTTGAAGTGTCCATAAACGTAGATGCAATTATTCTTAGAAAATACCAAATATATGCTTTATCTAAAGTTGGGTTGATAGTGAAATTAGACGATGTGCATATATAGTTTCAAAGACTTAGCTCCAAGCAACAACTAAGGTGTTTAGTCATATATCCAACATTTAAATACGTATTATGATTCCATTGAATCAGCAGCATGACATATTCAAACTATGGTAGATTTTGAAGAATCTATAACCATAAAAGCGATCATTCGAGTTACTAGCCCTATCATCTGATGAATGTCTTTCTTTTTTTTCTTTTTTTTTTTTTTGAAGGTTTCCCATAGAGAGAAAACCCTTCCAAAAATTGGGTATGCCACTTTCTGCGGCGAACACACGGTATCATCTGATGAATGTAAACACCACTTCTAAGCTCTATAAATTTAAATGTGTCTTTCTCCAGAGAAGTGCTACATTGCTACAGGAATATACATAGAGCATGCATTTGAAAGTTATACGTTACAAAAGTGTAACAGTTCCAAAACATCAATTACCTTTTAGTCATAAATAATATTTTAAATATTCAAATAAGTCACAATCTTATATTTTAAAATTATACTCAAGAAATTATAATGGAAGCACAAGGGATTTTCAGAACTAGTCGTGGCAAGTGAAGTGTTCACATACGGAGACTAAAAAACTACAAGTGAGGAATAAACGTTCAAGCTTGTAAGGTACCAACCCTTTGTAATTTTTTCCAACGGTTTTTTTTTTTTTTTTAAAATATCCTTGAAGTTCCATATAAATATGTGCAAGAGTTTCCATAGTTTGCACATCAGTAATGTCCATAAATATAATGCATCAAATGAAACAAATTACATTAAAAATTGCTCAAACCTAAAGGCTGATATGGCACTAATAATTGCCCAGATAAAACTTTAAAAACAAAAAAAAACTTGTAGTAAGTCCCTCGGTCCTGAACCTCATCAAATCCCACTGGTGCAAGAAATTCCTACTATTGATCAAGGTATATTATTCTATGTACCCAAACAGAATTTCAAGATCCCACAGATTTTGAGTAGCCAAACAGCTTTTGATCCCACCATAACCCCTAGTTTTGTCAAGGAATGTTTTGGTTTAATTAAAATAATTTTACATCAGGTTTACTAGTTGGGTCAAACCAAAACAACATCAACATACTAATTTGATCCCAGCAATTTGCACCCGAATCCACGAGGGAAAGATTAAGATTGTCTTTCTTGGATATTTGCACAATTAATTATATTTTTTGTCAAAATGATTTATTATTTTATAATACTATTATTTGTATTACAATTTTATGATATTGTCGCATACCAAAAAAATCAAATATGACATTGTTTGACGTATCCCAAAGTTTGGATGGATTTAAAATTCAAACACTTATAATCTTACTTATTCAAACTAACATAAGGTTTTAAAATCGTGACTATTCAGAAGTTACTTATTGGTCAAATATCATTGGTGTGGATAAAATTTACCCATAATGTCATTATATTTTTTTAGATTGCTCAGATTGCATGCTAGAATCTAAACTTTCTGCGACAAATACATCATAATATAGTGAGGCAAGGACAAAAGGGAATAATAAGTGGATTACAAGAAGAAAAAAATTTTCTACAAAGATTACATCAATATTTTTAGATTGAGTCTCCTAAACAAAATAAAAATTATTTTTTCTAATAAAACACCCTAATTTGATAAAGTCTTCTTAAATTGAGTTGTGCTTTTATTCTTCACTTCTTTTTTCCTGGATGAATAGGCTTGTCATTAGGAACTTCATGAGCAACAAAGAGATGGAGGATAGCTAGGATCATCAATAAAGTCATCAAAATCAATCTCATTCACATCAAGGGGCTCCACAATTTGTATCTTTGATTCTGGCTCATTACTTTCTGTTTTATCCTTGAAAATTTTCCTTTCAATTATCGCAACAAGTTTTGAACTGCTTTGGAAAGACAAACGAGTAACTCCTTAACAATTAGACATCTCATCTTGGCATTAGAGTTAGTATTTCCTTGAGAAGAATAAGAATAAGAAGTAACATTAATTCAACTGGTTTATTTACAACAAAAAAGCTCTCGTGCTTTATTAATGTACTTACTTGGACGTGTATCTGCAACAGTTTTTTCAGTTTGAGTTGTAGGCACTGTAACAGATTTCGGAGGAGTCTTCTTTTTCAAATCATCATCTATTTGATAGGCAACCTGAACAGCATCTGCCATAGTGTAAAGTTGGCTAGCAGCTAAACTAGGAGAAATATCTGAATTGAGTCCTTGCCTATACACAGTAATCATCACATCCTCAATCCACGGAAACTCTGATCTGGTGGCCAATCTATAGAATTTTTCTGTATACTCCTGAACTGACATGTTTTCTTGAGACAACTATGTAAATTGGAGATGAGCTCGTTGTTTATAATTAACCGGGACAAAGTAATGAGTCAAAGCAGTCTTCATATTGTCCTATGATCTATCAAAGTGAGTTTGTTGATACTTCATCCATTACCAATGTCTTTCTATACCTTTCAATTTAGATTCCGCAAAGAAAACTTTTCTATCATCGGTCATATGATACCATCTAAAGAAGCTCTCAAGGCTATGTATCCAATCAAGGAATACCTCTGGTTATTATCTCCAGGAAAATCAACAACCTCTAGTTTAATCCCTATATCAACATCTGACAATATTGAGTCTTCTCGAAATGGGGTTGGGGGTGGAGGGCCCAGTGCGATTACTTGTTGCTGATCGGTAGCTGAAGAGGGAGAAACAGTATCTACATTCTTCTCAATGTCTTTACCCTTCTGATCTAGGACAAGGGCTGTCAAGATATCTACAGTCACTTTGAGCGAGGCAAAGATGTTCACAGTTTCTTTTATTGAGGTCATTGATGCTTGGAGTGAATCCATTGATGCTTGAAGCGTATCTACCCTCAAATCATGTGCTTCAATTCTGGAGCACAAGTCGGCATTCGTAACCAGCATCCCAGGAGTATTCTGATAAATTTAAATTTGAGGATTAATTTGTAATTTCAAAAAATTTGATGGGAGATGCTATAATTTGAGAAAGTCCTAGAGTTAATTCTGTAATTTTAGACAGTTCTAAAATTTCAGCGGCTTTTAGAGTAAATAGGTAATTTGTGAAGTTTTGGGTGTGTTTATGTAATATCAGAAGTAGTGTTATCAGAACCAGGACCTCAGTCGGTCCGGTTTTGTAGTTGGACCGTTTAAAAAAGAGAACAGGCTAAAAACTGAAAAATTGGCCGAGTCTTGTAAAAAACTGTGAACCGGCGAGTTTTTATAAAAATTGGACGATTCAATACCAACTTAAAAAAATAATTACATAAACTTAAAATCTCAAGCTTATTGCCCTAAATCGCATAACTCCAGTCCAAAAGAAGGCACCACCTGACCACCAAGCCTCTAGCGACCAGGTGACTATGATCACCGATCAGTGACCAGGCTACTCCAGTGAACTCGGGCGACTGCCATCGATCAGCCACTGCGATCACTGACCAACGAACTCAGGCAAGATTTTTTTCATTTGGGTTTAATCTGGAATCTTAGTTTCTTTGATTAACAATTTCAAATAATTTAATTCTTGAATATCTATTTCTTCCTCACCTCAGCTTGTGCCTTCTCCATTGCTCTTGGGTTTCTCATCATTTCTGACATTATCCATTCTATGGTTGTTGACAAAGTCTCAATCCCCCAAATAACACATGTCCTGCACGAGAATCATTGAGATCACACTTTAGTTACTACAAAAATATGATGATAGCTTGATTTTTTTTAAACAGGAATTATGTCTCAAACGATCTCCTTTGCTAAGATTTTAAATTTGATATTGAGTTTTTTTATCGGCTATGTGATTTTCTTTTAAAGTCATTGTCTATTTATAGAGTGGTTTGATTATTTGGATTTTTGAGAAATAGTTTATGTTTTTGATTAAGGTTGTTTGTTAATTATTGTTCTGATAGAAATTTGATTTTGAATTACTAATTGTGTTATTGATATGTTAATAGTCCATAATCCATATTAATGATCTTTGTTTGTGATTATGTTATTTCTGTTTGTGATTTAGCAAACCAGTAGGTCACTTGTTGGATGTAGCTTTTCAATGCTACGAAAGCAGTGGTAGGTAATTTAATTAAATGATATTTTTAAAAGAATTGTAAAGCTATCATGCTTGTGAATTGAGAATTGTAATGCTATCATGTCTATTAAATAGGGATTCACAAGAGAATAGTTATTGTCTATTTCTGATATATTAAGATTGTGAATTGAGATTGTACGATTGTGCAATGAGATTTTTGTTGTCATTATTGATTTTATGCTTTCAGTTTGTTTGCTCTAGCAAAATGTCATCTTTTGGACTTTGAATGATTTTTCTGTTATGTACTTGAATTGGATGACAAATTGTATGTATTTTAGACATATTTGATATTTTTTAGCTAAATTATTATGTTTTATAATTATTATATATATATTTTTATTATTTTTATTATATGGCTAGTCTGACCAGTAATCTACTGGTTGAACCAGTGAATCATTAACCAAGTTTCCTAGCCGGTTTGATAACCGGTCCAATTCTGATAACATTGATTAGAATAATATAGGACTGAAATAGAGTATTAGAAGTTTAGTTGAGCTGTTTTGTTTGGTTCGGACAGCTACGGAGTTGGGCTAGATTAAAATGGATTGGGTCAAATTTTCAATTTTTTTGGGTTGGAGTGGGTCCGAATGTAGTTGTAGCTGGGCTAGGTAAACGGGTAAGGGTCAAGAGATTTTTCCTAAAAAACCAAAAAATGGGCCAGATCAAAAATAAGAAAAGGGTTCTTTAGAAATCGATACACTTTATTAGACTTATTTACCAAAAAATACATAGAATAAAATATAAGTTAAAAAAACATAAATGCTTATTTTAGGGTCATTTAATTCAAAATCTCTTATCTTTAATGCACCTTGATTCATGTGTATTTGTTAATACATATAAATACGTATTTAATACAACTTGATTCATATATATTTGTTAATACATGTAAAAAAAAAAAAAATATATATATATATACACACATGTATACTTGTTTATATACACGTATATATGAATATATATATATATATATATATATATATATATATATATATATTTGTTGTTAAATCTCTTATTTAAATTTTGAATTATCTTTAATGCACCTTGGTTCATGCGTATTTTTTTTTTTGAAAAGTAATTTTGTTTTCAAATTATATTTAATGAACCTTGATTCAAGCTTTTTTTTTTTTTGAAAAATAGTTTTATTTTCAAGCTAATTTAATATCCGAATAATGTAATAGTATAACAATAACATTGTAACAAATACAATGTAACAAATACACTGTAACAAAAACAGTACTTAGTAATTTTGTGTATATGGTAACAAATTCAAAACAGAGATGGACAATTTTGAATGAAATTATATGTTTGACAAAATGTAATAGTACAATATTTTGTGTAAATAGCATGTTACACTATTATTGTTATACTGTTACATTGTTAATGTTACACTTTTATTGTTCACTAATGCTATTAGGATATAATGAGTTGTCATCAATGAAATGAGAGTGAAATGTATTTAATGATGAGTCCCATTATAGCATTAATGTATTTATTATCATATAATTTATGACAACTCATTATGTCCTTAAATTATGTCTCAATATCATTACTATTTATTGTTACACTGTTATTATTACACTATTACACTATTCGGATATTAAATTAATTTAAAAATAAAACCACTTTCTAAAAAAAAATGCACGAATCAATGTGCATTAAAAATAATTCAAAATTTAGATAACAGATTTAACAACATATATATATATATATATATATATATATATATATATATATATATATATAATATACTTGTTTGAATTTTAAAATTTGTATTTATATATACATATTAAAATTATCTCATAAAACTAAAAGATGTTTAATGCATTATCTTTCAAAGAAAAGTGGTACATTAAATACACATGAATTAATTGATAGCAAAAATATTACAATAAAAATAGATAAATTCAAATTATGTATTTGAATACAAATAAATATAAAAATTAAGTACTTAATAACCTTACATTTCTTAGTGTGTATTTTTTATCAAATAAGTCTAATTTGGTTTACCCTTACAATTTACATTTACCCGTAAGAAGAAAAACCCAGCAGAAAAGCAAAACAGTCGTCTTCTCCAAAATTCTCTGGCTCGCCACTGCAAACCCTAGCAACGAAGTAGGACTGCCGGCAACTACAATCAACGGCGATCATGATTTCGGCAATGAGTGATCGTGATAATGACGATGACGTAATGAAAACAGATTGTGACAGGACTGAATTAAAACATTACATTGAGGTCTGCGATGACGATTGACGCCGAAAACGCAGCAACTCTGACAGACTCTCCGACCAAGGTGAAAGAGAAATGTAGCCCCGATTCCGACGACGAGAAGCAGAAAAACGACGCCAACGATAATGATAACGAGAAAGGATTACTGAACAGTATCACCAAACAACGAAAATGAATATGACTGGTGATGAACTTTGACTTTGGACGTAGAGAATAGAGAAGCAGAAGAGAGGCCGACAAAGACAAAACGAAGAAGAAAAGGAGGATTTCAAAGTCCTCAAGGCTAATGTTCAGCACCAGTATATAACAGGCAGTCACATCAGTGCAATGATGAATGGCTATGGCTTTTCATCGACGTCTAAACATATTCAAATAATAAATTGTTTTGCATTGCTGGGCCGCTTGGCACAGATGGTGTGTGCATCCAATTAAATAATGCCCCTTCAATATGTTGTTAGGCAAAAAAGTTTAAAAGGCCAGCACATAGAATCGTTTGCCTTCTTTGACGGAGCTTTAACGGGACAGGGACAGGGACAGGGACAGGGCTGGTCTTATTTGTGGCGAATGCTGCTTGTTCAGGGTAGAGTACAATAACAAAGGCCCTCACATTTTGAGGCGATTTTTTTTTTTGGGCATGGTGGGATCTCGTCAATACAACCTCCTATAATTTACCGAAACCTCTTTTTTTTTTCTTTGTAACAATGTATTTTTTGGATAATTTGCTCTCATGCTACAAATAGTTAAATTTGAATTAAATCTTCAACTCGCCCCGCCAATAGACTAGCAGCGTGTGTGTTTATCTTGCGTGACATTATATTAACCACAAATTTTGAATATTTTACTGAGATTATATCACTTCAAATATTGTGAGTTCAGAAACAAAAGTGCTTTTTGAATTGTTTTTCTTCAAAATAGATCTCTTTCCAACAAAAATTCTCAAACTAATACTCTTTTAAAAATAATTCCCTTTTTAATTATGGTGTCATGTTGGTTTTTTAATTTGAACTTAGTTAATAAAAATAATGAATGCTAAAATTCTACAAAATGCTATACACCATGTTAAGAGATGATATTACACAACACCAACCCGTAAATGATCTGACTTGTCAATACGAATTATTAACATATCATGTTCGAATTCAACGTGTATAAGTCAAAATTGAATCAATTAACCCATTGACTAATTGTGTCGGCACAAACACGATGGACTCGTTTTAAACTTGAAAGAATCGGCCACTATATGAATGAAAGCTTTGAATCGCTAACCCTAAATCCATCCTCCTCATTTTACATTTATGCCCTCTGCGTCTCCCTCCTGGGTGATTGACTCCCCCCTCCTCACTCCCTTAGGCCCTCACTCACTGACAACCATTACCATGCCTGCATCCATTAACCAGCCACCAGGCATCTCTCTCTCTCTCTCCCCCTCCGTTAAAAAATCTTTCTCTTTCGACTTTCAATTTCTCTAAGGCCAGTTGGGATCTAGTCACCATTTTTAGAAGGGCATTTTATTCGCACCATTTTCTAAAGGGCATTAGCTCTTTCTCCTATTCTAATCGAAGGACATCTAAGATCTACTGTTTAGCACATAATTTTGCACATTTTATATCACTTTGTGCATTTGATTGATGTTTATCTTTCCAAATTATGTTGAAATTTTGATTGTGTGTGTGAATTGGTGTTTGAAGGTGTAAATGGAGAAGAAGAGATATTTTGGATTCAAGTTAAATGTCATGAGGAAGCTTAGGAAAGAAGAGAAAGTGAACCAAAGCTATAGCAAAAAAAGGCATGTTGTACCAATACAACTTTTACCGGTTCATCATGTGGCAGAAATAGACAACATTCTATTCATCGGTTCATTGAATGTCAGAAGCTATTGTACCCATAGTTATTAGAATTGAATTGAAAATCGAACTAATAGAAGGATCGAGTCAATGGTTTGCTGGACTAACCGTTGGATCAACAAGTCGGACTAGTTGTATAATAAAAAAATAGAAAAATTATAAAACATAATAATTTAACTAAAAAATATATAAAATATATTCACAATGCATAAATTGTGTGTGTATCCTAGTGTTATATATATAACTATTGAAAATACATTCTAAAAGATTAGATTTTGATGGTGGTAATTTACGCGGTTGTGTAGCAGAACTCGGGCCTAAAAAAAAGAGAGGAGAAATGAGTTAAAGATTTATTATGGATGACAATGGGTATTCACTAGGCGGCCAGTCTGAGCTACTAGGCTCATAATGGTGAATGACAAATCACAGAAATAACAACTATCAATTGAAACAGATAGACAGGAAATTTATAATAGTTCACTAGCTTAAAAGCTTCGCAAGTCCATTCTAATGGAGTCTTTTGCTACTGGAGGTTTTTCTATTATTTGGAAGAAGATTACAAAGCTATTGATTGTGCAATTTACTGATATTCTCCTTCTCTCTCAAGCGAGGGATCGGTCCCTATCTATAGTGTGTAGGAGTTTTGCGTAGTTAGTGTGATCCCTGGATACTGACAGGGACAATCACATTCAATTCATCATCACTAACTATATTGTCATCATTGCTAACGGGTTCTGGTGGGGATCTACAAATTATAAGTATATGCACACAAATATGAGAAGAAAGTAAAAAAATATTAAGCACCTAATAAACTACGTAGAATACACATACCTTGTTGGATCTGTCACAATATGAGACGAAATGTTGAGGGCCTTGTCGTTAGTTTGATGAGGATGTGGTGCAACATTGACAACAACTTCATAATGACCATAGTCAGTCTCTAAATTTCGAGGCGAAGGTAAAGCTCACACAGGGATGGGTGAGACTGGATCAAGGTCAGTTGAAATGAAAATTGGATCAGATGCAATTGTAGGTGTTAGATAATGTTATGAATGATGTGTCCATGCCTTCGCCATGATCCTTACGTAATAGCAGTGACCTTTTCGTAACAATAAGGATTCTTGCGTAATCAACGTGATTCTCTAGTGGTTGTTACGACTCCTATGCCGAGAATCTTTGGCCATTAGAGGTTATATTCTCTAGGGGTGATATGATTTTCTCGAAGGTTTAAGATGTCGTTGTCACAGTGTGCCCGAGTTGGAAGACCTGAGTTAGGAGTCCAAGTTAAGAGGTCTAAGATGGAAAACTTGAGATGGGAGTCCGAGCTGGAAGACCTGAGCTAGAAGCCCTGAGCCGGGAGTCCGAGCTAAGAGATCCGAGGTGAAAGACCTGAGTTGGGAGTCCGAGCTAAAGGGTCCGAGGTGCTTCTGGGCTGAGCTTAACCTTGAAAAATTTTTGGTATCATCAAATTTTATATAAGAATATATGAATAATTATTTAAATTCTATTAATTTGTGATTTGGCTTTGAATCTCACATAAAAATAATATGGGAATGATGAAAAAAAAAGGCAGTTGAATGCCTTGCTCCAATGAAATGGCAGTCCCACATTATCAAGACAATTAAAAATTCCACGTGCCTATAAGAGGTAATGGTCCTATTTTGAATACCATTACTTGGCTACGTCACCTTAGCCCATCCCCTCAAGTTGCTAATTTGTAGGTGGCAAAGCCTCTTTACGAGGTTAGTACCGCTGGAGGAGAGAGTTTATATTGTTTTTGGTCACTTAAATTTGAACTGGCCGGTTTATAAAGTTGGTCAGGTTCACCGGTTTGTTTAAAAATTGGTCAGTTTTATGATTATTAGCCGATTTAGTTCCTTTAGGGGTCCGATTTACGAGTTAATCAGTTGAACTGGCCAGTTCGGTCCAATTTTAATAACAGTGGTCGTACCGTTTCATCTTACCTTTGCACCGGTATTAGGCCTGACAATCGTGTCGTGTGTGTCGTGTAGAATAATTTCGTGTTGGGTAAAACGAGTTTGTGTTTAAAAACCCTCTATTTATATCTCATACATTAAATGAATACTAAATTTGAATGAGCTTAGGAGATGAGAGGTGTGAGATGAAGAAGAGGCTAAGAGACCTAACTTTTAAAAAAAAAAAATTTATAATACCATTGTTAACAGGTTAAACAGGTTGAAATCAATTTATGAATTAAACACAAAATATGTTCATTTATTTCATGGATCTACTGAGTTAACTCATTAACCACCCGAACATATTAAAACTACACCCAACAGTTAAATCTGTGTCGGATTTGTGTCGATTTCACAAATCATGTTTAGAATTGTCGAGCCTAACCGGTACAAACATCAACAGAAAGCTTCCGACCAGTTTATCCTTACCCTTGTGCTAGTTTTTGAACACGCAAATATGGCACACAAGTCTGAACCTCATTCGATTGGCGTGGGATTACTTTTATTCACTTATACACTCAAGTGGGAGGCTACCAATATACCTAGGCGACTTCTCTTGATTGGTTGTTAAGTCTTCCAAAACTTCACATGGTGAACCCGATTGGACGACACTGGCAGGAGCAAGCTTCTTCGGCAAGTGATCACCACCCCCTCACCTCTCTCTTGGGCCAATAAGGATAGAGGAAATAAGAAAACTTGCTATATATATTACTTACACACACTTGAGATGAGTCTAACATCTTAGAGTATTGGAGTCTTTTTTTGTTCTTATGGATTGTTGTAGAGTTTTAGAACTTAGTTGGATTTCGAAGAAAAAGAACAAAGTATTGTTCATTTTCCATTTCAAAGCTTAGTTGTTGTAATTTGTTTCTTATTTGAACTTACTATTGTGTAGTGAACCTTAGTGAAGTTATGTTGGAATTTTTTCAGACTTTCATTAATTTATAGTTAATTTTTAATTTGTGAAAAAATGAGTTGAATTTATGGTTCAATGAGATGAACTCAATATTATTAAGTGATTTATTTTATTTATATTTTTTTAATTAATGTGGTTGAGACGGTTAAGTGTAGACCTTAATCTAATTGTAGCTCGTAATGAGA